GTCTTTATGTGTGTGATCGTTCATATGTGCGTGCGCGCGCGCTTGTTTTCATTGGGTATAATCATTTATGTTAGATGCACATTTTGACAGTACCGGTGTAACACGAAAATCTGACTCCCATGAAAATCTGACTCCCCCAGTCAGATTTTCATAATAAAATAAGAATTATGAAGTTTTGTGGAGCAGGAGTCAAATTTTCACGGGGGAGTCAGATTTTCATAATGTGCACATTTTTAATTTTCTTATTTTTTCATGAAAATTTTCACCTGCAAACTACAAAAAAGAGCCAGTGTATCCTCCATTTTACATACTACAAGATCACAGTCATATACTCAAAATGAATAAGATTTATGAAGTTTTGTGGAGGGGGAGTCAAATTTTCATGGGGGTATCAGATCTTCATTATGTGCACTTTTTTTTAATTTTCTTATTTTTTTCATGAAAATTTTCACCTGCAAACTACAAAAAATGCCCATGTATCCTCCATTGTGCATACTACAAGATCATAGTCATTTACTCAAATAAAATGAGATTAATGAATGTTTTTTTTGGGGGGGAGTCAAAATTTCATAGGGGGAGTCACATTTTCATTATGAAAATCTGACTGGGGAGTAAGATTTTAGGGGAGTCAGATTTTCATGGTACACCGGTATTGTTCAATGTTGAGACATCGCCGCATTAAGACAGTAAAATATTTGTCTTGAACAGGCTAGCCTATCATCTTTGGAACATGAATGGCGCTTTGGCGTGAGTGCGGGAGCAGCATGTACCACCCTAGCTTCTTGTCCCCCCTCCCCCCTATAAAAACAATATAACGAGCGAAATGAGTCAAAACAAAATGCTCTTCCAACCCGGTGCCGAACAAATAATGGTAAGATTATTCCTGTCAGGCATGCTATAGTTTTATCCTCTCCCTTTTAACAGAATCCTGGATCCGCCAATATAGACGCACATTACACCCTCTCACCATTAATCATTCTTTAAACTACAGGCTTCCTCTTTCATAATCACAATTCGTAAAAGGTATGCCATTCGGGTTTTTGCGACAAATGTAATCTTCCGCGATCTGTTAGTCCGTGGATCTCCTGCCATGAATGCGACCATAAGATTTTTTTGTCCGTATTGACCTCTTTATTAAAACGTGAGCTCTAGTGTGAGATTAAGAATTCAGATTTATTACTCATAGAGCCTATCAATATTCGATCTGTTATTTGACGTCCTTCGTTCGACAGTGCGACACTGGGATACAAGTGCGTGTGTATGAACGTGTATGTGTGTGTACGTGTCTGTATTTGTGTGTGTAAGTGTGTGTAAATGTGTCTGTGTGTGTCTGTATGCGAGAGAGAGAGAGAGAGAGAGAGTGAGAATGAGAGAGGGATTGATTAGAAACCTTTTTCCAGGTGTCATTTTCTTACAAAATAGCATATTAACATAGATATAGCTTATAAATCTTTATTTATTGACTTTTTGTAACCTTTGGCTGAGCCAGAATGACTGTGCTTGGCAAATAATGAAAAAGAAAACGAAGACAATCATTATTTGTGTAACATAAACAATAATGGCATGTGAAAGGTACAAGGTTGGAAAAGATTTTGCTTTGTTTCGATTGACCTGTTATACTGCGTTACTTATCTATTTATTCCATTATTCCATTATTGTTATCTAATTTTTTCAGAATCCGGAGGTACGTGCAGTACTGAACATAAGGAGAGGTTCAAATGCCGTAACCTATTCATACAAGCACCCACCCCTCCCGCCGGATCCTCCATTTTATGAATTAACTAATCACATATCCATTTATCTTTGTATTTCTCATGTCACGTTTCTGAATCAGGACCTTTGAAACTAAGAAATAATATGGGAACTCTTTCAAAAGCCACCAAATCATCTTCTGGTAAAACAAAAGCTTATGATATATTGGATTGCTTTCGAGTTTTATTTTTACAGAAGAAAACAAATGAAAAGTTTTCAAAACAAGGATCGACCTCAGTAAGCTGTGAGAACTTCAATAAAACCTTGACAGACAATGTAACAAATGTATCGGACAAACACCTTGTAAACACAAATCCAATTCAGTACGTTTGTAAAATCACAGAAAACACATGCGAGAAGCGGACCAAGGAAAAGACGAAACCGGAGACAACCCGATTAGTCACGGAGATATCACAGGCACACGAAACTCGTGAAAATGTTCAAGAAGCGTGCGCCCTTCACGGACCAGAAGGAGGCCATGCTATCGATATCATTTCTGTAAATTCAGCAGATGGGTTTGTAGAAAATCAACCAGAATCTGTAAATGATTCCGAAACCCACCATGTACATGAGCAGGTGTCCTCTGGCTCCAGTATCCAATGGTACCATGCCGAAATACACGTGCAAGAGACAGACGAAGAAGGAGGAACAGCTACCGTTGACGTCCACGTAATCCCCGAAACTGCAGCGGCTGAGTATGAAACTACCAGCGCCGAAGCTGGTTCAAATGACGGCGAGCAGAATGCCCAAGCTGGGATCAGCTCAGTACCAGAATGGCTCCAAAAAATAACTAAGATGAAAACGCCAGAGGAAAACCGAAGGGAAAACTTAGAAATAAGTAACGGAATATACGTGCAGGAATGGCAAGCGTTGAACGAAATCCAAGCTTTTGAAATTTTAGACGAATTTGAAACGAATTTGCTGCTACGCAGTCGGTTTGTTAGAGGCATCCAACCACACATTTGGGAAGAAAAACTGCGTTTCGAATTCAGGCGCCATCTACAGGAAGCACTTGGCGATGCCGAAAGCGAGATTCAGGACTGGATAATGAATAAAACTGGAAGGCCATACTTGGACAGACGAGATGCATATTTACAGTATCAGTCCCAGAAACTGAAGCAATCTTTGAGAGAAACTTTTGATTTGGATAATGTGTATTAAGTTTAAAACTTCTACATGAAAGAGTAAAGACATTCCAAGTCTATAAAAAAGTACAAACAGTCTCTACATTTGGCCTATTACAGTGCATCATCTAATTCCCACTTAATGCAGAGTCTGCTTTTTAAACCTTTATTTAAATTATTAACTCAATTCATTTATTTGTTACTGCTTTTAGATAAAAATATTTTTTATGCTGTTATCATTTTGTAAATTACTTATTTCTAAAGTATAAATTTTGCCATGACATTGGAAAATACGACTGAAAATGGAAAAAGAAGCTTTATATAGGTCTTTTTCATGCTAATAGCCTGAGTGCTTTGTGATTTTTGCTTTGTGAAGCAATGTTTGGATTCTGATTCACTGATTCGTTTTATGTGGTAAAAATAGCATATGATTGATTTTTGTGTCTCTTTATCACGTGTGCGTAGGCCTATATAACCGTAAACAGCCCAAAGTTATGAAACGAACGACCATCAAGAATATAGGGAAAAATGAAGCTGTTATATACTCCTATAGAAAGAGTGTCGATTAATTTCACTTTTATAATTTTTATATATAGACTTTTTATGTTATTAATGTTGTGGCGACTATTAATCACTTTATAGATTGTAAACTAATATTAGATATACATGTATAAATGTACCATTTTAGTGCTGTATTACAGGGACATAATTTTTTAGAAGTTAAATATTTTAATTGTATTGAGTGCATTAAAATCTCTTAGAATGGAATGCGTTATGTAGGAAATATTATTATTATTATTATTATTATTATTATTATTATAAACTATATCTATCTTGAAATGATTGTTGAAGAAACTTAATTATTCTAACGTGTTGTCAGTGACATTATTTTTAAACCTTGATATTTTATGAGGCCTGTGGAAATGTTTTGATGTACTTCTGGTTTCCCCAGCTTAATGAGCTGAGATTTATTTATTTATTTATTTATTTATTTATTTTATTTTTTTTTTTTTGGGGGGGGGGGGGGGAGAGGGGTCAAAATTCTGTGGGTGTTATTCTTAATCATGCTGTTCAGCTGTCGCAGGCCACAATGCAAAATTCATACCAGTAGTTGGCGTTCTATAGGTTACTTCTATTTTTTTCAAGGGACACCTCGATAATACGTCTTATGTCAATGCTGTGCAACGATTTTGCCATGTATTTATTATTGTTTTCGCTTTTGTTTTTATTATTTAAGATATATCAACTGTTCATTTTGGTAAAAAAGAAATACTGGGGAAAACGACAATTTTCCCATACGTACCTTATCGACATTTAAAGTTGCATGTATCCCCCACCCCACCCCACGAGTAGCCATCTATGGCGGTCACACGGTCCGATGGCAAGCAAATATTCCAGAATAATTGCTATAACGGTCGTTTTTGGTGGCAATAAAGAATTTATTATATTTCGATTAGTTGTTTACAGTGTATCTTTGGTGGAATATGGATTTCTTATGACGTGTTGTTTTAGAAATAGACTTACAGGTAAAGGTACACTGCATGGGTTTGAAAATCCCCCCAAATGCTTATTTTTGAAAAACCTTACATACACTTCAAAAACGATTTAAATATATATGTACATTTTTTTCTGGTTTGGAGCGTTCTTGATGTTGACACTGTAGGCGGGGGCGTCTCGATAGTCCGAAGGTTCATTGGTCCGAAGGTTCATTGGTCCGAAAAGTGGTAACATTTTCATCGATTTTTAATCAAGGGTTCATTGGTCTGAAGGTTCTATAGTGAATATTCGGACCAATGAACCTTCGGACTATTGAACCTTCGGACTATTGCTACGGCCCCCTGTAGGCCATATATTTACAGCATATAGGAAGATGGTCGCCGGTTATATGGTTGGCCAGTCATTTTAAACTAAATCGACCTTTATAAAATTAATGGTTGAGTTCAAGTGCAGAGAGGGATAGATTAATGACTCATGGAACGAGAAAGTTGAGTATTTCTCCGGGAAAATCCATTTTGGCGGGATATTCCCATAACACAATGTCTTCTTCTCACCAAACACAGCGATGTAGATATCGCAGAGAAATGACCCGGAAGTTCAACCTCAGCCAATCACTGCTGTCTATGACGCACAACGTGGGCTCTTTAAAACTGAGAAATCTGTCTTTCAAATACTTCATCAAATATGTCAACTGCAACAAATTACAGCGTTTTAATTTTAGTAATGATACTCGCAGCGAGTGTAGGGAAGTCACAGGGTCTTTTTGAGTGGCTTTTTGGGGGCGGACAAGCGCAGGGAGAAGAAGGGAAGCAAGTTGAAGTGGGATCGCTCTTGAAGACGAATCGACAGGTGCCTTTTGAAATGGCGACGGTGGATGAGAAGTTTTTGATGGAGGTCGCAGGACTGAAGCTGTCGCAGTTAGACTTGTGTCATCATGAGGTTAGGTGGTTTATTTTCTTCTCTCTCAAAACATAAAATGAATTATGACATCGTGGAATTTCACGGGAATGGCATTGCTAAAAAATCTTCCAACTTACATGAGAGCTGGCATGCCCAGACTTGTTTTTATTTTTATTTTATTTTAATTTATGCTGGGGGGGGGGGGGGAGCTTCCGTCGGCATAAAGATTGTAAAATAAAATATACAAATGATAAAAAGGAAAGTTAAAATTATATTTACAATTCATAGACAAAATAGATCAAATTAAGTATAAATGATGAAATTAATAAGCCATGTTGATAGCAGGATTTTACATGTTACATAATAATTTCAGATTGTTGGTAAGCTGAGGACTAGTTGTGGGGGTATGTCAGAGGATGACCTCGGCAAGCTGTCTGTGATGCTGTTTAACTGCCAGGCAGAGAATGAGGGCAGAAAAACATATCCCTGCACCGAGGATATGGTACATATATTATCAATTCTCTCTCTTTCTCTCTCTCTCTCTCTCATATCTGTGTCATAAATGAATAAATTGGAAAATTCATTTTATTAAATTGGGCTTTTGGGTTTAAGTTAAAAGTAACTTTAGTTGAGAAGCCCCCCCCCCTCAAAAAAAAAAAAAAAAGGAAAATAGTAATGATAATAAAGAAAAGTAGAAAAAAACATTTCATTGAATCTGAATAGAAAAA